AGTAGAACAGGCTGCATTTCTCCTGCACAGAACTGTACTGCAACGTGGTAAAATGCATAAAAATGCACTGGAACGCACCAAAAATAAACTGGAATGCACATGTTACTATTTGAATTGAAGAAAAAGAGAGGGGAAAAATTAACTGCAATGCATAAAAAATGCACTGGAATGCTTCATAAACGCACTGGAATGTACCAAAAACATGCATGGAAAAACACATCTTGTCGTTTCACATGACTGTCATATGCCTTTAAGTGTTTTCTATATCTTGTCTCTGCCCCTCCCTTTCCTTTCGTTTAGTTAATGCTGTATAGATAGCCCACCCTTTTTTCCAGTAAGGCATTGCAGTAAGCCTCATGTCATGGAGCAGGAAACATTATGTTCTTTTGACTTATCGAATGTTCATTGTTGTAAGATTCTCTCAGTTTATGGAATAAACTTCACAAGATCTACAAGATGTCATTCTCATTGAGTCACTGACTGTGGTATCCAACTGAGGTTGAAGTTATCTCTATCTCATCACAACTGTAAGTTACAGCGATCACACTATCGATGCTGAGATTGGAGACAGAACACATCTGGAATGCATCTGGACTGCGTTTCTATAGTGTGAACCGGCACTTGAGGTAAGTTGTCTTGCTGGAGAAAAGTTTTTTTTCCCTTTAATTATCAGGTTTACTAGCGCTTTAAGAGCGGCATTCAGAGGCATTAAAAACAGCACCAAAGTGGCATTAAGAGAAGAGCTTATGAACATAATTTATGCACATACATTTACATTTACAATTTATCCTAGTGGCCGGAATTATTCTTCTACCTCCTAGAATGCATGTACACTGAATACCATATAAACGCACATAATTACACGTCAAAACGAGCATTTTTCCACTCTTGATTTTCCTGGCAGATCCAGCTTAGATAGGAGTATATTTATTAGCCCAAGTGCAAGAGGCCTTAACTATAAACCAATGGTAGGTCTTTGCACCCATATACTGTATGTAGTGTGATCTTCCAAAGTGTAACTAGATCTAAAAAGGAAACTATATCTTAAAGTGTTACTAATGCAGGCCATACATGGTTCGAATTCCGAAAGATTTTTCGACCGAAAATCAAAAACATTGTTCGCTTGTTAAATCGATGGTGCCATCAATGATTTTGAAAATCGGCCAATCAAGTCATAAAGTTCACCCCATATAACAGGTGAAACTTCTGTTCCTTCCAGGTCACGGCTCATACGCATATTCTTTTCGGAAAAAATTATTGTACGTTTTGACCAACATTGAGTCGAAAATCGGTCGTTTTTCACGAATTTTCCAACATGCCCGATCACCGAAAAGGGGAGGAACCACGAAAATCGGCCAGTGCTATTGATCCACTAACAGAGCGAAAATTGGCTGTTTATTCTTAGGTCTGATTTTCGGACAAACAATCGGTCAAATTTCAATCCATGTATGGCCGGCCTAAACCCAGCATTCACTATATCTGGTCTCCCACAATACACACAACATGGAAGTGCAATTATTTTAGTAAATATAAACTGCTAAATACCTTTTCTCATCAGCAGTTAGAGCAGTCTTGTGACTTCTATCAGTGTTCACCAGAACACATGTTAATGCTTGTAGGAGTTTTCACTTTGCTCTAGGAAGATGTAGAACCCCTGACCACTGTCTGGACAGTTCTGATCACATGCACTCTCCCAAGGAAAAAAAAAAAAAACCTCTCTAGCAATACACACCAAACTGAGCATGTGCAGAGTGACTCCACACCATATGTTTTATCAGGTGATAAAAAGGGGACACTGGAAGATGGGGAATATTAGAGAAGTCAGGATCAACAGCATTTTTACAGAATGCAGAGAATTAACCCCTTAGGTTCCACAGTGAGTATAACAAGCACGCATTACTGTATATACAGTCCGATTTTACTGTTGTGGGTTTAGTAACACTTTAACTAAAGGAAACCTTATTGTACAAAAATCAAATCCAACACAACAAAAAGTGACAGATCTGTCATTTAAAATCAGAATTTCCCCACATCCAAATGGCACACAACTGAAAACCAAGATATTGCTTTACTATTATTGCACCGATATGACTAATAACAATCATTGTTAATTGGCCAGAATTGTTCCCGTCTAATCTCCTCATTTCTATTGTGTGCTTCTCTTGCTTCATAGGTGGAACCGACTTTTCTATTAACTCAGACTTCACCACCTACTTTGACGTGTTTGTTTTTCATAATCGCTGTATATTTCCATGCATTCATGGTGGCAACAAACTCCTTACAGTACAAAACACATTCTCCTTTCTCACAAAATGCCTGTAGCTTTCAGGATCCATGTGGCCTAAGGCCAAGTTAACACTTATTATTGGGGGGTGGTAAATACAGGTGGTTATATTTGCATAGTTACAGTGTTTTCTGGAAACTTTTTAGAAGATGAACTATTTTTTTAGTATTTGTCTTGTGTTGCCCAATAAATACATGCAGTCCTCCAGCATGGAGGACTTTGGGTGTAATCTGGTGTAACAAAGCGCAACTAACCCACACAAAAGCCATGGGTACGCTGCACAAGAAGAGCACCAGATCAGTGTGAAAGGGGCTTACCTGTTACACATCTGGGGCTGTCTTGTGGCTCTCAGGCATCAGGTGTTAATGGAGAGTGCTAGTAGTTTCACATGAGCAACCATGGGGTGGTAAAAATAGGCAGTTGAGTCATATGTTTATTGCCCCCTCCCCTTGTACTGTACATACTCTTATGTCACATTTTGAAGCCAGCAACCCCACTAAACACCACCTATTCAAGTGAATGGGAGCATACCGAAACTGCTATGCAGCTACGTGCAAGGCACGTGATAGCGGCGCGGTGATTCATCCTTTTCAGGGTTAACACAAACTGGTAGGAAGCAACATATCAATCCCCAGGTGCTTGTTATTCACCCTATGAAAAGAAATCCACCAGGGATTGCTTTTTATGGAGCAGCAAGGGCTGCTGCCTCATCTGAACATCATCTTCCTGTACTACTAATGTCTCCAAGAGGGTCCCGAATCAGCAGCTGTAATTCAGAGCAGCAATTATTCCCTTTCCCTTACAGCCCATTTGAAGTCTCACATCGTTTGATCTTCTGTACTCCTGCATGTTAAGACTTGGGACCAATTTTTGCTTAAAAAGATCTTGCCTGAGCATTCAGGAAAAAGTGACAGTGTCTATGTGAATCTGCCCCCTTACCCCCAAATATTTTATATCGTCCTCTCCAGTACTCCCTTCTTCTCTGGCCCACCTCTACAAAACATCTTGTGCTTCTTGATATGGAAGGGAACATATGACCTCCTCCGAGGATGTAATGCTTGGGCCTAGGGGTCATCTTCTAGACCAGCAATGGGCAAACTACAGCCCGGCGGACCTTTTAATCCGGCCCGCGGAGCTAGGCTCTCGCTAGGCTCCTCTCACAGTCCGCCCTGAAGACCGGTGTAGCATGAAAATCTGTCTCCTATGAGGATCTGTCCCCCTCGACGTATCTGCGCATGTGCCGGAGATCGCCGATCGGCTGCTAATGCCTGAAACTGGCACATGCGCAGATACGTCGCGGGGGACAGATCCTCATAGGAGACAGATTTTCATGCTACACCGGAACGGCGCGGGAATACGGCGAGAGGAACGTGCGGAGCAAAGTTAAGTGAATTGACACAGGGGGGACTTGGGGACTTAATATGGGGGATGAATTAATATGGGGAATGAATTACTATGGGGGGATGAATTACTATATGGGGGATGAATTACTATATAGGGGATGAATTACTATGGGGGATGAATTACTATATGGGGGATGAATTACTATAGGGGGGATGAATTACTATATGGGGGATGAATTACTATGGGGGATGAATTACTATATGGGGGATGAATTACTATGGGGGATGAATTACTATGGGGATGAATTACTATAGGGGGGATGAATTACTATATGGGGGATGAATTACTATATGTTTCTTCTTCTTCTTCGGGATGAATTACTATGGGGGATGAATTACTATATGGGGGATGAATGAATTACTATATGGGGGATGAATTACTATGGGGGATGAATTACTATATGGGGGATGAATTACTATGGGGGATGAATTACTATATGGGGGATGAATTACTATGGGGGATGAATTACTATATGGGGGATGAATTACTATGGGGGATGAATTACTATATGGGGGATGAATTACTATGGGGGATGAATTACTATATGGGGGATGAATTACTATGGGGGATGAATTACTATATGGGGGATTAATTACTATGCGTACTATGGGGGAATATTACTATACTTACTATGGATGACACATACACATCATTCATCTACTCTTGGTCCGGCCCCCGGGTCCAATATATGAACCCATTGCGGCCCTCAAGTCAAAAAGTTTGCCCACCCCCTGTTCTAGACCAAAATTGTCACATGATTGTATGCGCTGCATCTGATACAAGGCTATGGTCTCAGCATTGGACTTGAGGAGGTCAGAAGAACTCCAACCACTGGAGCATAGGGAAGATAACGCCTACAGGAACCAGTCCTACAGCCTTGTGGAGCCTGCAAAGGTAAGGGAAACTGCTTTTGTGCCTCCCTACACCCAAACAACCTTTTTTCCTCCGTGGAGTTCAGCTTTAATTGTGTGCAGCAAATCCAATGTTCCCCTGGAGGACAATTTTTTTTGACTATTTGGAGTTTCAGTTTAGGCAGCGCTAATGAGGACCTTAAACTCTAAATATTTGCCCACCACTGGTACCCAAGGTCAGGGGCGGACTGACAACTCATAGGGCCCCCAGGCAATAGGGGATCATGGGCCCCTGTCTCCTTGCCCAAACTCAAAAAAAGCCTATGAAAAAGGTTCCAGGGGTATCTCATGGGGCCCCCTACCGACCCCGGGCCCTCAGGCAGTACCCGAGTTTCCAAATGGTCAGTCCGCCCCTGCCCAAGGTATGGTAGAAAGCGGACCTGAAACTCCAACACAACTACCAAGCGTATAGCCAGCAATATGGATGGCCTATTCTGATCTTGTCCCTTGGCCTTTTGCATGGCCCAGTATTCTAGGATTTACTTCCACAAGGTTTTTTTGGTCTACATCTCATAAATGACTCCAGACAAGAGAAGAGTGCATTCCAAAGGGTACACTCCAACTAAAATAAACCTTTTTAATTGATCTTTAACACAAAGAAAGTAACGTGTATGCCAGTTTTACGAACATCAAGTTAAAACGTGTTTCATAATTAACCCGGTTTGCACTCCTAGCAATTATCACAGGAGCCGTACAGTACAATGTAGTATGTCATTAAAAAACGGTCACAATTGATGTGTTTGTTACTATAAATGGTTGGATAATGTATTTCTGTTAGTACGGGTAACCCTGAGAGGAGAAGTTCCCCCAATACTGATATTCTGGTCAGGGGGTCCCTCCACCCACTGACTTGTTATAAGTCCCCCACTGTTCCCTGTGGGCATTCCTGTTTATGTTGTCTCCCCTAAAAAGGAGGCTCTCTGCAAAGAGGTTACAATTGTTTTCTACTAAATATACCCACTTCTGCACCACCGACCACAGTTATACTGCGTCAGGGTGGCCCCGCTGTGCTGGATTACATACATGTACATGATCCAGCTTTTCTGAGTAAGGAACGCGCGCAACCTGTGCTGTCATTCGCTACAGCACAAGTCGGTTAGCAGGTCCCGGCCAATCAATGATTTATGGCAGAGACCTGCTGATTGGCTTAGCGAATGACAGCAAACAACACAGGGCTCTGTACAGACAGCAGCAATGTGCCTGTTTTTTTTCTCCCTGAAAAGCAGGGAGATAAAAACAGTCACATTGCTTAGTAAAAAAAAGCAGCACATATCAGGCTTCATGCACACGGGGCGTTTTAATAACACTGGTAACGCTAGCTGTGTAAAGTCACGTCAAAAACTTGAGTTTTTCAGCATTTTTTAGCGTTTTTGTATTAGCATTTAGCAGCGTTTTTTCGCGTTTTTACGATTTTTAGCATTTTTTAGAGTTTTCGTTTTACCAAAAAAAAATTCCTTTTTTTGTTAAAAAGTCCAAAAACGCTGGTTTGCCATGATTTACAGCGCATTTTTATAGCTAAAAAACTCCTCTAGAGACCCACTAGTCCTCGGTTTTTTTTTCATCCAAAAAACGCCCCTGCCAAAAAATGTTGATTACAGTCTATGTGTGCATGGACACATAGGGTAACATGCTGGGGAGTTTACTGGCGCCAAAAAAAACAGCAGGTGTAAAAACGTCCAGTGTGCATGAGGACTATCACATTGTTAGACACAAAAACAGTCACATTGCTTAGTAAAAGCAGCACATATCAGGCTCCATGCACACGGGGCGTTTTAATGACACTGGTAACGTTAGCTGTGTAAAGCCATGTTAAAAACTTGAGTTTTTCAGCATTTTTTAGCATGTTTTGTATTAGCGTTTAGAGGCTTTTTTTTTGTGTTTGCTGGTTTTTAGCATTTTTTAGAGTTTTTTTTTGGTTAAAAGTCCAAAAACTCTGGTTTGCCGCGATGTACAGCGTCAGAGCGTTTTTACAGCTAAAAACCTCCTCTAGAGACTCACTAGTCCTGGGGGTTTTTTCCAGCCAAAAAACGTACCTGCCCAAAAAATGTCGATTACAGTCTATGTGGATAACATGCTGGGGAGTTTATTGGCTGTAGAAAAAAATGTCAAAAGCCAAAAACAGCAGCTGCAAAAACATTCAGTGTGCATGAGGAGTATCACATTGTTAGACACACAGTTAACCCTTTGATTACCCCTAGATGCTACTGCTTCCCAGCCTGTGTCATCAGTACAGTGACAGTGTAGAATCTCAGCACTTAATAATGTATTAGTGTCACTGGAAATGCTAGTGTCATTTAGTCAGTTCACACTTAGCGTCCGTTAGTGTTCAGATTGCTCGCCTCACCTTCACAGTCCCACTAGAAGTCGCTGATTACCTCCATTAATAGTGTTAAATAAATAAATAAATACAAATTCCTGTATACACACCAGAGTGTGTAGGCACTATAACTTTTGCACAAACCAATTAACATACACTTATTGGGATATTTTTTTACGAAAGACATGTAGCAGAATACAGTGCCTTGAAAAAGTATTCATACCTCTTGAAATGTTCCACTTTTTGTCATATTACAACCAATATGTATTTTGTTGAGATTTTATGTGATAGACCAACACAAAGTGGCACATAATTGTGAAGTGGAAGGAAAATGATAAATGGTTTTCAAAAGCTTTTACAAATAAATATCTGAAAAGTGTGGTGTGCATTTGTATTCAGCCCTCCTGTGTCAATACTTTGTAGAACCACCTTTCACTGCAATTACAGTTGCAAGTCTTTCTGGGGTATCTCTACCAGCTTTGCACATCTAGAGAGTGACATTTTTGCCTATTTTTCTTTGAAAAATAGCTCAAGCTCTGTCAGATTGGATGGAGAGTGTCTCTGAAAAGCAATTTTAAAGTCTTGCCACAGATTCTCAATTGGATTTAGGTCTGGAATTTGACTGGGCCATTCTAACACATGAATATGCTTTGATCTAAACCATTCCATTGTAGCTCTGGCTGAATGTTTAGGGACGTTGTCCTGCTGGAAGGTGAACCTCCGCCCCAGTCTCAAGTCTTCAGCAGACTCTAACAGGTTTTCTTCTAAGATTGCCCTGTATTTGGTTCCATCCATCTTCCCATCAACTCTGACCAGCTTCCCTGTCCCTGCTGAAGAAAAGCATCCCCACAACATGATGCTGCCACCACCATGTTTCACGGTGGAGATGATGTGCTCAGGGTGATGTGCAGTGTTAGTTTTTTGCCACACATAGCATTTTGCTTTTAGGCCAAAAAGTTCAATTTTGGTCTCATCTGAGTAGAGCACTTTTGTCCACATGTTTGCTGAGTCCCTCCAAAACGCTTCTCGCAAACTGCAAACAGGACTACTTATGGATTTCTTTCACCAATAGCTTTCTTCTTGCCACTCTTCCATAAAGGCCAGACTTGAGGAGTGCACGACGAAAATTTGTCCTGTGGACAGATTCTCCCACAAGAGCTGTGGATCTCTGCAGCTCCTCCAGAGTTAGCATGGGCCTCTTGGCTGCTTCTCTGATTAATGCTCTCCTTGCCAGTCAGTTTAGGTGGACGGCCATGTCTTGGTAGGTTTGCAGTTGTGCCGTACTCTTTCCATTTTCAGATGATGGATTGAACAGTCCTTTGTGAGATGTGCAAAGCTTGGGATATTTTTTATAACCTAATCCTGCTTTAGACTTCTCCACAACTTTATCCCTGACCTGCCTAGTGTGTTCCTTGGCATGATGATAATGCTGTTTGTTCACAAATGTTCTCAAACAAACCTCTGAGGGCTCCACAGAACAGCTGTATTTATACTGAGATTACATTACACACAGGTGGACTCTATTTACTAATTAGGTGACTTCTGAAAGGTAATTGGTCCACTAGATTTTAGCTAGGGGTATGAGTATAGGGGGCTGAATACAAATACATGCCACACTTTTCAGATATTCATTTGTAAAAAAATTTGAAAACCATTTATCATTTTCCTTCCACTTCACAATTATGTGCCACTTTGTGTTGGTCTATCACATAAAATCCCAATAAAATACATTTACGTTTCTTTTGGTTGTAAAATGACAAATTGTGGAAAATTTCAAGGGGTATGAATACCTTTTCCAGGCACTGTACATTTTGGCCTAAGTTAATGAAGAAATTAGATTTTTTTTTATTTGATATGTTTTATAAGAGACAATAACAAATATTTTTTTTTTTGTTCATATATAAAAAAAATAAAAAAACCCAGCAGTAATGAAATACCACTAAAAGAAAGCTCTATTTGTGTGAAAAAAAAGATATAAATTTAATGCGGGTACAGTGTTGCATGACCGCGCAATAGAACGTTAAATTACTTCAGTGCCGAATAGCACAAAATGCCCTGGTCGTGAAGGGGGTAAAACCTTCCGAAGCTGAAGTGGATACCAAAGTCATCAAGCAACAACAGTAAAACACTGGAACGTGGTATCACCTATGAGGTGGTATCAAAAAAGTTTCAAGATTAGTTTTGTAAAATGCCAACAGATGACAGCGAAAAGCCGTCACAGGGAGCACCAACCTTCATAAGTCAGTGTGCCAAAAGATATTGTCCTGTGTGCTATTCTCACCTTGTGCGTTACCACGTCTGCTATTTCATGGACAGCAAGTTAGAACAAAGAGCAAATGTGAAATTCTGCGTGAAACTGAACAAATCACAGGATCTGAGCAATGTTGTCCAAACGGCGACCTTTGAGCTGGACCGTCATCTTCAGGAAGAGGGCATTTTCATGGGGTTTTTTACTGATCTCTCGTCGTCTTCCAGTGATGTTCTTCTGCTCTTGAAGCATGTGTGCCACTCAAAACACCTCAAACGACTCATTGCAGCATCGCCGCAAACTTGCCGAATCATATCAAATGTCTCTGTGGCAGATTTGCCCCGTTTCAAGCAGGGTTTCCATCTTCACCCAGTCTTCCTTTGGGGTTCCCAAGCCGCGACTACTAGCACTTTAACCCCTTCACGCCTAAGGGTAAAACAAATCTAAATGCCTAAGCACAATTTTGCAATGTCGACATGTGTCAGTAAAACCATACATATCATCACAACTACTTTGTACATCCAGGTGAATTATACTGTGTTTTTTTTCAGGACAAATTGGGCTTTCATTTGGTGGTAAATGGTAATGGATATCTTCTGATTTTTTTTTATTATAAAATGAAAACTGTCCCAAAATATTAGAAACATTTTTTTTTTTTTATTTAGCTGTGTGTTTCTTGTTACTACCATAACCTACCACCAAAGAACAACCCAAAATAAATTCTCCAGCTCTTGACGATCGCATCGATACCATCTATGTGTATGTTATTTATTGTTTGTACCCGTAGTACAGCCCAGAAACAATAGTGCGCATTTTGTTTTTGTCTTTTTTTTTTTTTTTACCTAAAACACACTGACATTG